GGGGTGGGGGTGGGCAGGGAACGGGGCCGGGGCGAGGCCGGGGCGGGGGGACGCCGTACCCCGATCCCCCCGCATCGCTCCGCCGACAAGGCCGAGCCACCAACCTGCCTGCCTGCTTCCTCCTTCCACCCCCCACCTTCCCTAACCCTCTGGAAATAGGCCGGTTCCCGGCACCCCGGCTCCCCCCGCCGCCCCCGGGGGTCAGAGGAGACTTTTGGGAAGAGGTTAGCGGGAGGGAAACCCAAATTAAAACTTCCACTCACCTTCCCAAATCCGCCTAAAGTGGTGACTCTGGTGTAGAGAGCGTGAAGATCCAGCTCCTTCCCACCCACCACAGGGATCTTCTTAAAAGGAGACCTGCCAAAGGAGATCCACACAAAACACCGCCACTTGTCAGCTCTGCCCCCTCTTCTCCCCTCGCCGGGGCCGCCGTGTCCTTCAGGGAAGGGGCTGGAAGTTGGATCTGCTCGGTTAAAGCCTCCCCCCCTCCCGTGCCATCTCCCCATTTTCCTCACCCTCTGCTGTGGTGAAACTGCCGCAGCTCGTCCAGGAAAGCGAGTCCCTTTCTCCGCTGGTCTGCGTGGTTTTTACCCGTCGAATTTGCCATTTTTGTATTAAAAAAAAAAAGGTCCTCGTAAAAAAAAAAAAAAAAAAAAAACGGCCGACGACAACAACAACAATCCCCGGCTCCTCCTCGCCTTTAAGAGACCCAGGTGCCCGTGCTCGGCCGGGGATCGGCCATGGAGAGGGGCTTGCTTGAAAAAAAGTTTAAAAGGAATAAGGGAGCCCCGCGAGTGCGGTAACCGCGAGTCCTGCCTCCACACAGCGCGCGGGCACAGAGACGGGAGCGAGAGGGGCACGCTCCGCGATTCCTCCTCCCGCTGCCGCTCTCAGCACCGCGAACCCAGCCGATCCAGCCTGCACATGAGACTCAACATGGTGCTGCTGGATCACACAATGAATTGGGTTACTGTTGTGGCGGGGTGGGGGGAGCCGGAGTGAGGTACTGACAGTGTGTGTGTGTTACAGACGCGGCTCCGCGCGGTCGCCCTCTCCCTCGCTCGCTCCCTCCTCTCGCACACACACACTGCACGGCTACGGCGGCGGCGGCGGTGGCGGCGGCAACGGGATTCACTTCTCTTCTCTCTCAGACAAAAAGATCTGAGGCCGCCGTGCTTCTGCCTGGACGAGAGCGCAACACAGCGGAGCCCGGAGGCCGCTCCCGGTACTGCACGAGGCAGCTCCGAAGGCAAAAGCCAGCGCAGCCCCAGCAAGCAGTTCCTGGCGGGGAACAATAGGCTCCTCTCGCCGCTAAGGGCTCATCTGCAATGTGCCGCAAACTTCACACAAAGCCGGGCGGAAAGAGAAGAGGGAGAGGGACGAGAGGGGAGGAAAAAAAAAAAAAAAAAACGGCTACTACCGGTTGTTCCAGGGCGAGGGCCGGGAAACGCGCCCGCCGCGCCGGGCTCGCTCGAGCGGCCGCTCCCCGCTCCGGGGGGAGGGCGGAGAGGTGGGCTCGGAGCGCCGGGCCGGGTAACGAGCGCCCCGAGTTCGAGGGGAGAGGCGGCGGCGACGGAAGGGGGCACTGCCGGATTTTGACTTTCGGAAAAGTTTGGAGTCCCCCGGGCCGAGGTGTTCCCAAGGACAGGAAATCTCCCCGGATGGCGTGGGGGTGGGGAGCGCCGCGCGGCGGGGGCGGCGGGAGCCCCGCTCCGGGCCGGGGGGCCCGCACTGCCCCGAGGGAGGCGCGGAGCCGGGGCTGCCCCGGAGGACTGCGGCAGGGCCGGCGCTCCGCCAGGCCCCACAGCCGCGTATTTTTTCTTCTCCTCGAGATACCGTGCCCTGTAATCGGAGAGCTTTAGGGCCGCTCCGCTCCATCCGAGACACGTTGCCGTGTCTGTACGTCGTTGAAAAGAACGCAGAAGCACGACGTTACTGAAGAAGGGAGGACGCGGCCCTCGCCCCAGGCAGGCGCTGGCCGTAAGCGGCAGCCCACCTTCCTCTGGCATATGGTGGTGGTGCGGTATTTGTAAATATTTCCCTCATCACGTGCATCCAGCGCCTCAGAGCGCAGGACGGTACCTGCGGCCAGGCCGGGCAGCTGGGGCGAGAGGGGCCTGCGGGGCCTTCGGCCCCAAACGTCCCCACGGCGAAGCTGCGGGGCTCCGGGTGGGCCTCGGTGCCTCCCTGCCGGCACCTGAGCTGCAGGTGGGGCTCCGGAGGAGCGCTCCTACCTCACAGCCAGCGCCGAGAGCCAGGGCCAGGCGGGGCCTCGCCTTGTCCTCGAGCAGAACTCCTGCTCGGTCAGCCAGGGGCTGCGGGCACGTCGTGGCACAAGGGCGCGTTCAGGGGAAAGCTGTAATTCCCTTCTATTCCATACACTAACTTCAGAAAATAAAACACGCACACATATATATCTATATATTTTTTAAGGAAGATTTTTTTTTCCTCTCGAGTGCTGATTTAGCTTGAATGTAGACAGAGACACGCAGCCAGGCGCCTGCTGAAGGTCTGCCCTTGGGTCACACTTGTTGGGGTGCCAGGGAGCCAGGAAAGAAATGCCCGTTTCAAATTAATAAATATTGAGAATGGGCCTCTCTGTGTGGATGGAGTGCTGCTGCCTGAACTCCAGTGTAAGAACTGCAGTATCTACTTGCCGTGGCGTTAGGAGACACCCCCAAATTAGACCTGCGGCAGCTCCTGCTTTGCACCCCTGCTCTGTGGCACTCGGAGTTCCTGCTGCTTCAGCAGCGAGACTCCCAAAGCCAGAGGGACTGACAACGAGCGACCGAGGGTCCACACCGCTCTGTCAGACGCACGCAGCGCACCCTGCCTTCAGGAGGGGCGGCGGCGCCCGGCCGTGCCTTCCTGCAGCCACGGGGTCCCCGCGGCGCGGGGCGGCGGCAGAGGTGAGTGGCGCTCCTCGCCCCGCTCGGCGGCGGGCGGCCGGGCGCGTTGCGTAGCAGGGCTAGGTGGGCTGCCATGCGGAGCGCGGCAATTGCGCACGGTCCCTTACGTAACCGTCAGCTGGGGATTCCCTGGAGGGGGTCACTCTATTCAACCATTAAGCAGACCCCGGCCGCCGCCGCGCCGCGCCGCGCTCGGATCGCCGCCGCCGCCGCCGCCGCCGTCGGTACCGAGGCCGCGGTCGCAGCCGGCGCGGCGGCTCCTCACAAAATGGCGGCGCCCATGGAAGCGGCAGCCCCATTTTGTGCCCGGCAGAGCCTGTCAACAAAACGCCGACTTGGCCGAGGCTGAGGAACAGAAGGCGGCGGCTCGCTCGCGTTACGGAGAGCGGAGGGAGGAGAGCGAAGGATTTCACCGCCCTCCCGCCGCCGAGAGGAGATTTTCTATACAGCGTGCGCGTTGGGGGAGGGAGGAGAGGGAGGTGAAGGGGGACGCGAGCAGCGAGCGCGTCAGAGGCGGCCTCGTCCCAGCGCGGAGCGGCGGCGCGGGGGAGGGGAAGCGAGGCGAGGCGGCGGCTTTGGCGGCGGCGGCCGTGGCGCTGCTACCGAGGGCGGCGGGCGCGGGCGGCGGGAGCGCGGGGCTCCGGGGCGTGAGGCGCTGCTCCCCGCGCGGGGCCCGGGCGGAGGGAGCGCTGCTGGCGGATCGTGGCGAGCCTGCAATGAGTGACAGGGCGATCCAGCGCCGCACCGAGCTAACTAGGTCACTGCCAGCACTTAATTACTGTTTGTTTCATTTTAGTGCGTGCCTTATGAATAAACCGGCTATTAGGCTGATGCTTCAAGTAACACTATCCAGCACCCAGGTACAGAATGTCTGTATGGGGCTCTTGTGATGCCGGCTCGGTAATAATTGCTGTTTTACATTAACGCGGCTGGGTTTCTGTGGCTCGGTTCTTCAGCATGTCGCTGAAATGATGGAGATCCATGTGATGAGGCTGCGTTGCATCGCCTGTCTTGCTATTTTTATGCTTTCAGGAGCTCCCTTCTCTTTGGAGGTAGAGAAAGGGCTTATGAATTAAGGTTTTTTTCCTGACTTACGTGCCTTAATATGCATGCATTTAATAATACCTAAATAAAGGAGCTGATGTATTTCGTTGTTAATGTGATAATTATTAATGTACCAACATACATTTCTAGTTAAGAATTAGGAAATATAGCTTGTTGTGTATTAAAGATCAGATGGTTAAAAGGGAAAAAGCGCCGGAGCTTGTGTTGCTCTTTGTTTTTAACATACTCTTATTTATCTGTCTGGTAGCTGTCAATGCAATTTGAATTACTTTAAACTGTAAAATAAAACCTGTGCCATTATTAATTGTTTATAAAAGTTAATATGTACAATGAATTTTAGTGTGTAAGTGGTGTGCATGGAAGCAGCGTTCTTGCGGACAGTGCAGGTCCAGTAATTGAACTTTCACTGTTCAGTAGTCGTGGTTGGCTTTGTCATCGTTTGTTGGTTTTTTGGGTTTTGTTGTTGTTTTCTAAGTATCACTGTGTTAAACAGATTTTCTATCCTGATAGCAGTGTTCTGTGTTTGCAGTTTCAAGCCTTTCCCCTGAATCTTTAGTATTAAATTCTGTGCTTATCACCTGTCTGACCAACTGTTCCCATCCAGAGCGCAGGCTACAATTGCTCTTGTCAGCGTGCCACTGACTGCATTGGCTTTCTGGTGGGTGAATTACTCCTGCTCATTTCCATTTTCATTTTTGCTTGTGCTGCTCGTGAATTGTGGCAACATTACGGTTTGATTAGAGTAACTAGTATCACTAGCTGAGTGCTATTAATGTTAAATGGTAAACAGTAAATCTTTAGAAGCTGAAGTTAGCATAGTTAATTTGTGTGTATGTGCCAGTGTGTATATATGTGTGTTTTTAGAAAATGCGGCCTATTAAGTGGGCTAGAGGAGAGACTAAAATCACTCTGAAGACTGCAGGCAGCAGTGGTGCATTAATGTAGGTGCAGTCTGGAAATGAACACAAGAATTACAGAATGAAAATCTGATAGAGGAGAAGGGGTTAGAAATGTTGTGGTACGTTTTAGTGACGTTCATCTGAACCGTTTTTAATAAGATGTGTTACAGTGTTGAAGTTAACTGCACGTTAGTCAAAGGGCTTCGCTGTTTGCGCAGCTTGCTGTGACAAATGCACCTCTTAAGAAGAGGTTAACAAGAGGCTCAGCAAGGGATTAGTTCTACCCCTTCTTACCAAGCAATATTTTAAAACTCTATTCCATATGATTGTGCTAGCTAGTTCTTAAAGATGCTGCTGCTTTGTAGTAAGTGGCTAGTCTTCAGTGGCAGTTTATTAAATCATAGATTAAAGAATTTAATACATGAAATTAAATGCTAAACAGTAGAGCAAAGGAGAAGCAAATGTGCAATATTATGGTCTACTTCTGCACGCTTGTACAAAATTTCCACTGCAGTTAGAGGAGTTAACTGCCCTTCCTTGCAGGCTTGTTTTGGATAATCTTACGTAAATAAATAAATAATGCTTTTGCATTGAAACTTTCTAAGTTGTTTATTTAATAGATACTTCCCTACTGAATGTGTTGTATGCCTTCCTCATCTTATTTTTCAGTTATTACTTCTCAGGAAGTAGAACAGTTGAAAAAATGGGCTCCATTAACACAATCTTAAATAATCAAGTAAATCACTTAAACATTTTCTTAAATATTTTCTATAACTATTGTAAATTTTCAGTATTTGCTGTTCTTCGCAGAAGTCCAACTATTGAAATCAATTCATTTTAGGATCATCTGGGCCCCAAATTAAAAACACTTCATAGTTGAAAGTTTTTCAGTTGAGCAATGTAGTATGAAACATGAAGCAGGAAAACCCTGAAAGCAGCTGAAGGAGAAGTAAAAAATAAATACGTGAACATGCTCCCACTTGATTTCAAAACTTCAGCGCTTTTGAAATCGTAATTCTTTTGTAGGTCCTGACTTTTGCGTTCTGAACACTTGGGATTGGCCATGCTTCAACAGTAAGATTAGATTAATGAATTCATCATAGCCTTTTCTTACATTTATCAGGCCAAATTATGGGCTGCATTTCGTAAGCCATCATATGTGTAATACAGACTAAGGCCTGAGTAGTGGAACATTTTTGAAGATTCTTACAAGCACAGAAGTCACGCACCAGTTTGCCATCAGGACATTGATGTTTTTTAAAAAGAAAAAGAATGGGTTAGCACTTAGTAAATGACCTATTTGCAGTATCACCTTGTATGATTGCATGATCTAGTGGATGGCATGCTTCCCCTGAAATAGCACTAGTGTGATTCATGTTTCTGGTGGCATGTGTGAAAGTTTGATTGAGATGCAAAACGGAAAGAGTTCTTTTGAATGTTTAAAAGGAGCTGTGCTCAGAAATGCAGAAATTATTGATATATTTGGCTCAAACTAAAGGTTTTTGCGGAGCAAGAATGATGGTAGCACAGCACTGGTGTGGGAGGTCTCATTAATGCAGAAAACCAGGCCTAATAACTTAATGTTGTTTTTTAGAAGTTCATGTGATAAAATGCTACTCATGTGAGAGTTCTCACTATTACAGATATCTGCAAGCAGTAGTCACTCATCACATAGCACTGTCTCATCATTGTATTTTTACCAGTTCAAAAGCCAGTCAACGGTAGCTAAAAATATGTAGAAATTTCTGTAAGCAGGTGCCTTAGTTAACTTTTATAGACGCATAAACGAAAAGGGAAGTAGTATAAATGTGTGGACAGACATTACATGTGACATTTTATGCATTTCATTATAATACACGCTACAAAACTTCTGAAAACCTCAGTAGTAAGCGAAAGAAAGACCAATTAAACAATGCTTTTGAAATTGCCCACACCGATCAATTACTCAATAGCAGTAAAAAAACATGAATAACCACAGGTGCGCTTTTGAAGGAGAAAATTTGTTGTTTAGCTGTAATTGTCAGTCTGCCTCTTGGTGCGTTACTTACTAGGGATTTGGCCTTACAGACTACAGATAGGTGAGCAGCATTGCATTGAGTGCTGCTGGGTTGTCCAATAAAAAGAAATATTCCTCTGTTCAGCTTAACTGAAAGAAAAAAATATTTCAAACTTACTGCATTTGGTCACACATAACTTTAAAATTGCACTTAAATTGATTTTAAACTTGATTTTAAACTGTTTAGCTATAGTGATGTCTAACAAAACAGAAAAAAATATTGGAAGAAACAGTTTTTGATGGTATTTACATATAAAGGCCTGTCAAATATAGCCAAGTATCAGTTCCTGTTGATGGCAGTAACATGATAGCATTCAAAGTTCTTAGGGGAATCTACGATGCTCATCTTCTCTAGATATTACAGGAAGGTTTGTGAGGCTGGGCTGCTACTCTTCTGGGTTTCAAACCTGAGCATAAGATCTATCTCACCCAGAATCTTGTTGCAAAGGATAACTGAAGATGCTTACGTGGCATTTAGGACTTGGTTTATTGGGCGTGGTAGCGAGGGGTTGATGGTTGATCTTAGAGGTCTTTTCCAACTTTAATGATTCTGTAATTCTAAGTAGTAAAGTGATTATATGATTCTGTATCACCAATTCTTGTTTTTTGTGGTTTCCAAAGGTACCAGGATCACTGTATTTAAGAGTGACTAATGTGCAGAGCTGGGAGAGTCTGCCTCTGAGCTGAGATATTCTTGAGAGAAGAGTGAACTTTCTAGTCCCTTAACAAGAGGCTAGAATGCAGTCTCTGGGTATAAGGTGAAGTAGCAGTGTTAAAATGTCTTACATTATCTTGTCCTTATCTAGATTGTGTGCTGTTTTGGGGAACTTCGCTCTAGGGAGAGGTCTCACCCTTCTCTTGAAACTCCCTTGCCTATGTCAGAGAACAGTACAGAAGCTTGAAGAATTTTTTCAGTCCTGCTGAAGAAGGAAAAAGGAGATGAAAGAAAATGTGTGTGCAAGCAAGAGAATGAAAAAAACCTGATAGTTTTAGGGTAAACCCCACTCTGGCAGCCTCTCAGCAGTGATCAGTAACTCTCAGTGGCATCCGCTTCAGGTACATCTCCTTAGGTACAGTTGATGCAGACTTCGTTTTCATCTTTGGCTGATTTAGAAATGAATAGTTTTGCACATGTTCACACGATTGGTAATGTTAAGGCTTTATAGTTTTCAGTATTTTATTTCAGTTTCTAGAATGCAAACAAATGCCATAAGTCAAGTGCTGTATCAGGGACTGCTTGTGCTGTGTTCTCCAGTGTAAACAGCAGTGTTGGGTAAGGTTTTGGTATGGTTTAGTCTCTGAGAATGAAACTTCTTCCTTTGTCATTTCATCCATCATCGAGTTACCCTTATGTTAATTTACAAAGTGAAGATAGATTTATTTTTCAGTGCTACAAGTCCAGATTGATTTATAAGACAACGGAAGTGAAGTCTGACTGTAAGTTGAACCCTTAGAATAGTGTTTGATCTAACTGTGTTTTAATAAGTCTGGGATCATTCTTCACTGCATGTTAGGGAAATTAAATAATGTGGGTGATAGTTTTTCTTCAAGAGGTTTTCAAGCTGTTACAGAACCCCCATTGCATTCCCTTGGAATTAGTTCTGCTTAGTACTTAGGAAAATGGAGCCACGTCCTTAATCAAGGTGTGTTGGCCATGTTTGCAGTGCTATACAAAAATGATAGCAGATATTTGATAGTGCAAGTTTCCTCACTTTAAATATTGTCTTTGTCCTTTTGCCAAAATGTGCTAACTAAGCCCTCAAAGATGTTTTTATGATAAATTTTATAATTTTGGGTTACTGCCTGGAGGCAAGTTCATCTCAGGATCCATTTCTTTATTTCTAGAAGAAAATATAGATACACTTGATTTACTCTTTTATTTTTCATATGCCGAAGAGTTCCTGACTATAAATAAAAGTCTGATAGTTTCTCTCTGCAACAGAACATTAAGGTGCTATGTAATTACGCACAAAATTCACATGTAAACATCAAAATAAAGGGTGAAAAATTCAGTGCTCGTTACGTAGGAGTTCTCCATGTGTGACATTGTATGTGTCTTTAATTATATGATCACACTTTTTTTATGCAAGATCCTTCAGTTTGAGATGCATACTGCTCACTGAATTTAAAGAAAAGGGAGGGCAGTAATGCGTCTGTATCTACATTATATTTGAATGTTTATCTGAATAGAGAATTTTTGCTTTTCCTTACAGGCTTTTTCCAGTGTAATCATTGGAAAAATATCTGAATGCTTCATGTATACAAACGCATTAACAACATTGAGAGGTAGTAACATTATCATCAGTGTTGTCAAAGTTAAGGCACAGAGGGATTCACTGCAAGAATGGCTGCTGATTTGGGGTGTTCTTCACTTCATCAAAGCAGAGTTTTAATGGTTGTAATTTACAGGTTATTCAAGAGTGAAGACAGTTCATCAATAGAAGAGCTCACCATGGCTTCAGAACAGTGTTTAATTCAGCTGGACCATGTCAGCTTGTCCATATGTTCTGTGGTCCTGTCTGTATTATTAGGACTTTTCTAATGGGGGATTATTGTGGTGCTTAGAAACTGCATTGAAGAAAGCCATGCAAGTATTGTAGATGCTGTCTGGTACCTACCTTGTACTGATATTTCAGTGTTCTACAGAGGCTTAAATTTGGAACTCAGAAAATAAGAAGCATTTAAAGAGAGGCCACCTGTTCGGTGTAAGAAACTCTCAGATCTCTGTAAATCCCCGATAAAGAGAGAAATAGAATTTGGGTACACCCATCAGGAGTAATTTGCTTTGGCTTCCCAACGTTGCCTCTGTCTCCCCTCCCCCCGGCGGCCTGCTTCCTGCACTCAGTGCCATGTGCCACGGCCACCCTCCCGGCCCGGGTGCCAGAAGAGGGAGCACCGAGCGCAGTGCAGCCCCGACCCTTATCGCAGTCCTCTGCTGCCTCACGTGAGAGTAACCAATCTGCAGCACTGCTGACGCCACACGGTTGTCACAAAACCTCACTTCTGCTTGCTTTTTTTTTTTTTTCCTGTCTTTCTTCGTTTTTATTTATTTATTTATTTTTCCTGTCCACGTGCAGCTTGAGATTCAAAAGCTAATTGCTTTATCATGATAATCAGAAAATTTCCCAGAAGACTGATTCCTGATTCAAAGTAGATCTTTGGGGGGTTGGGAAAAAAAAGTGCATCTTCCATTGTTCCTTAAAAGATGTCTCGGAACCTGAAGTCTGCTTGAAGTAGAATCCTGTAAATGTATTGTAAGTAGCCTTTTGGCACCATTTGCATTTATAGACTTTATATGCGAATACAGTATGATTGCAACCTATCTGTCCACTGGGCTTGAATACAGGAAGTTGGCTATCCTGTAACATCCTCAGGTCGTTCCAGGATAGTGCTAATTACTCAGAAGAACACTGCTAAGTACAGAGTCAGTGTATGAAAGGAGGGTAGCGAGTCCTCTACATGAAAACATAGTAAAAATTTTCCTCACAATGGGAGTTTTGGTGGTGACTTCATCTATGGCATTTCTGTAGTGTTGGGCATATTAACTGGCCATTTGATAGCGTCTGAGCTGTATCTCTTTGTTAGGCTGAGCTGTGCTTGCCATCCTGTGCTACCTGTAACTGTGGTTACAGAGTCTCAGTCCAGGCTGTCTGAAGCAGTTTGATCACCTAACTGGATGTCTTGGGAAAATTCTCTAAGGGCTGCCCTGGTGTGCGATTCTCTGTTCAAGGTGCTCTGGTGGTTTCACTGCTTATAAAATCTTAGCCTAGAAAGTATTAGCTGATATCTCTCTCGTTTGTTTGCTTGTTTTGCTGCTTAATTTTATTTAGGGGAAAAAAAAGAAAAAAGCATTGCTTGGTGAATGGCTACAGACTATAATGATAAGAGCATTTTGTCCTCACTGTGGTACTACTAATTCCAGTTTGGTGTGACAATGATAGAAGAGCTTTATAGAGCAGTTTGTTTTATTATAAGCAGTCCTTATCCTGTCTCTGTCCCATCCTAACAAAATGTCTAGGGCATGTCTTCTAGCAATATAATTAGAACGCAGAAAGGTATCCTATGGCCATATGCCTCTCAGTTGAGAAGAAGAGAGGGGAAAAAAAATGGTTGAAGGAGAAGGAAGACTCTCTGCTTCCTTTTATATAGTCTTCATAAGCACAGTCACTAGAGGTTTTTGTGGCTTAAAGTTAGTAACATTATTCTATTAAAAAAAGTTTCATTAATATTCCCCGAGGTATAAATATATAACCTTGAATGTTTGTTATAGTGAAGGGTCACCAAAAGTCTGCTTTTTGGTGCTGTTGTAGTTCCAGGGAAGATAAAGAAAGGAAAACTTGGTTTTTGTTTGAATTCTGTTTGTTTTTACTCATTTCAGTGGCAAGTTGCAGTTTCTGGGTATAGAAGCCAGCAAAGCTGACCTCTGCATCCCTGCAAGTGGCTCATTGCCAGCTGGGAAGAAACTGGCAATTTTCAAACAAATCATTGAAGCTGCTTTTTCAATATTGTTTCTGTATTCTTCAATATTGTTTCCACAGAAAGTGAGAGGATGCGATATTTGCAAATTTCTGAAGGATAAGTGGACAGAATTTTAAATGGCCTTTTAGGTAGTCCAGCAGATCTTTCCCTGCCTTAGTAGACAACAAAACTTTACAAAGTATATGCTATGCAGTCACTGGCCTTCCAAACAGTTGCCTCGAAGACCGAAGCTCTCCAGATTTGAATGTTTCCATTTCTGTTTTGAAAAAGGGTTGTCCTTGGCTAATGAGAGTTGCCCCTCTGTGCAGTGCCCTTTATCATCAGAGTACTGCCCACTGCTTGTTGTTAGAACCTCTTAAAAAGAAAGAAAAGCAAACCCACCATCTGCAAAACTAATTTGGGGTTAATTTGTTAGTGAAGCATGCTCATCTTAAGTGTGAAGTAGCAATAAATGTCATAAACTCAAACCCCATTGCTTTATAAATGCAAATGAAGCTATTAGAAGTTGGGCAGTTGGAAGGGAAGTAGTGAGTAGGCAGGTGCACGTGCCTGGGTGTGGCAGCAGAAGAGTACTGCACGCCAGCTATCTGGGATGGCACATTTACAGTGTAAACTATCAAATGCAGCCCCGTGCCAGCCTCTTGGAGTGCACTGTTCTTTCTGCTGCTGCCCTCCACCTATCAGTAAGAGAACAGGAGCTTTTTAAGTTGCAGCTCCTGTAGCTTTTTCCAGGACCTGAACTCAAATTTCTTAAAGAGATTTTTGTCTACAGGTCAGTCTGTTGGAACTGAAGTGGTGGTGCTTAGAAAATGTTGGTTCATCTCTCAGAACTGGAGGCTTGGTATTGTGTGTGATGTCTTATGGATGATAAAAGTATGTGATAAAAGGCTTAAGTACTGATAAATAGTTCTCACACTTTGTTTATGTCAGAGTTAATTGAACAAAGCTGCTGCCAATTCGCTTCTCAAAGATAGTAATGAAAATTGCAAAGAAACTCAGCAGTTGAGATCTGCAGCATTATTGTCAATTTTTGCTATGGGTTTGCTATCTCGAAATACTTCACATGTATTCTGAGCTCTATAAAAGGACTCCTCTGCATTTTATTTATTTATTTATTTGTTTATTTTGTGGAAATGGAAGGAAGGAGTAGATTGTTATTACAAAAATGCAGTCTTTTGTCTGAATAAGTTACACACAAAGGTGTGTTTGGATATACATACCTTTATAGTTTTTTTATCTCAGAATTTAGCCATCCAAAGCACTTTCCTCCTGTTCAGCGATGCATCACCTACACAAGAAATGAGAGGGTGTGGAGAGGAGATGGGAGAATGTCAAGCATCTGATACTTGTGTTCTTCCTTTGCACATCAGTCACTTCTTAAAGTATAGCACAATTTCTGTATAATTTAGCAGTGGTTTGCTTGTTCTGATATGAATTTTGAAAATATCCTTTGCATTGGTTATTTAACTTAGAGACACAAACAGTGAAGTTTTGTTGTTTGAATTTCTGCCTGCCTAATAGCAATGAAAGGAGAAGTACAAACTATGCAAACGGATTTTATTGAAGTATAAAGTCAGAGCCAGCAATTTACACAATGTACAGAAATGACATGTCATTACCACAGACTAGCTACTACGGGAAGTTACTGTTGAACTGCTTGCCAAATTATATATTAAGACTTTACATACCTCAGTCCATAAAACTAACTGGGGACAAAATACTCCGTGCACCTCAGAGTCCTTTAAACTTTTGGGCTGGGGAAGAAAAATGTAATGGACAACTACAAGGACAGGTATAATAATGGACTATTGGACAGGTATTGAGGTAAGAGCTTCTCAAATTTCCTCAAAGTCTGAAATATTGTATAAGTTAGGTGTCAGTTTTCATGGGCTCACTTCTTAGTCATGAATATGTATGAATACAGTATCCATATCTCTTCTTAACCAACGTGGTTCTTGTGCGCTCTAATTTTAGGAACAACTGCAATCTTAGGCAAATCCCTGATGAGGGTAAATAATTTGCCTAATGGCATCACTAATATAAAACAGTAGTTGACTTGCCAAGGTAGTTGCTCATGGATTGGTAGCAGTCTGACAACATGATTTCTGAACAGCAGTAATAGCTTTTTATAGTTACACTCTAAATACTCAAACTCATTTCTTCATATGTGAAGTTGTGGCATCACTGCTAGATGTTAGGTAATAGTGAATTTTTCAACAATTTGTTGAATTACAGGTTAAATTACTGCTGCTTCTGAAAAGGAGGAAATAATTCACCCTCATCCTCTTCCTTCTTCCTGGCACTGACATTCTTGCAGCCATACTGTAACCCAGATGAAGATTAATTCAGCTGAAAATGTACAGGATGTAAAAGTTACTTTTTAAAGGTGTACCTAAGAAGATTCTGTTCAAGAGAAGGTGGAAGTAATCAGCTTGGGGAAGGCAAGGCTCTTTCTTCCCCTGTTGCATCTTCAGAGGCTCCAGTATCTTCATCATTCAGGTAGGATATCGGGAGCAAGCACTGTTCCTCTTGTTCATGCCAATTAAGAAGTGCAAGGAACCTGAAATCAAGGCAGGTACTGATACTGCTTCCCTGTTGCTGCTTAAAAGGATGATAAGAGAGTTGGTGGGTCTTCCGATAAATATTTCCTCTGGTTTGTAGCTGCGTTGCCACAAATGTTTTGAAAGGAGTGCACCTGGCTGAGTCAACTGTGCTTCTATTTCTTTTTTCAGAGCAGGTGGAGTACAACTGTCATTTTGTGGTATTTACAAGGAAGCAGTAATAGAAGACTACTTTCATTATTCATGCAGCATGTCCTTGATGGAATGGAAGCAGATAATACAGAAATCAGTTAGGAAAAAAAGCTTTTTTGCTTATCAACACCTTACATTTTCTTGTTGTCTGCTTTGGGGCCTTTATGCTGCAGAACATTGTACTGCATCCCAAGATCTAAAATTTGGAGTCTGTTGTACTTGACACTGGCAGGAAGTGGAGCCTGAATATCCGTAAAGATCTGTATTTGTTGCTTATTTTAAGGACTGGGAGTTGGAAATAAGTATCACAGTTCTTCATGAATGGAAGAATTGTCGAAGAACGGATAGAACCTTTTGGACAGTACGACATCTATATTTAAGTTCTTTATGCATATATATGTTTATATGTTATATATGTTTTCTATATTTTGCTTTGCATAATTTTTAATGTGCGTGTGTGTGTGTGTATATACACATATGAAATAAATTCCATGACTAAGGTAGTGCAAATATGGGATATTGCTGGAACGGTTGTGCTTCTCACACATCTTCATGCATATTTTAATTTCTGTCAAGTCTTGATTGTTTTATCCTTCTTTCCAACTTCTGCTTCCTATTCCTCCTGTCTGCAACACTTTTTGGTACTGGAGCTGCAGCACATCAGTCTGGATTCATGAACTCTCCATAAATACAGAAGGAAGAATTAAATGATTCCCAAATTAGAATTTGATGGTATATACAGTACAGTTATGTTAATGAAAAGAAAGTATTGACTTTAACTATTTGTTTTCAATTAGGAAAATTCCTTTTCCCTATAAGTCATACCAAATGTGGGCTGTGTTTTAGAAAAACAAGGGGAGAAGCAGCTCCTTTAACACCTCACAGTGCAAGTACCACTGTTCTGATGATGGAAAAGGCTTGGGGTGAAGCCCAGGATGATGTGGCAAGATCAGCCTCACCACCTCCGCTCTTTTACTTCAGGAGCAAGGGCCCTGGCTTCAGAGGAGCAGCGCAACTGCTCATAATGTGTTACAGTTCCAGCACAGTACAGCCTTGAACGGCTTGGAAGCCTTGGGAAGCTCCAAAATAAGTCAAATGTCTCAGCATATGTAGTTAGAAGAGATGTCATGCAGATTAAGCTTTGGGATAGGTTCAGAGTTCTCCAAGTTATCTAAATTCATGTTCTTCTTCTATAACCTTTTTGTCACAATAAGAAATTACAATTATGTATATGAGCTAGAGCAGAGAATATGGAAAGTTGGGAATTAAAGAGACAGACTAACTTGCTTTTCTCTGTTTTTAAAAACAGCTAATTCAGATTTTAGCTACAAGGTCCATACACTTCCAACCCAGCTGTTGTTTCTCCAATGTGTGAGAAGTACAATGTATAAATAACTTAGTGTTATAAAAGGATTTCTCTTTCACGTAACTTCAATTTTCTCCTGAAACAGCTCCCAGATCAACACTCCATTAAAAATCAAAGGTGCCAGGTGCTTCAGAATTGCTGTGACTGAACTGAGCATCATGGTTTTTTTTTCTCTTAAATATCATTGATGCCTCACACACAAGATTTTTATTTCATTAAAATGCTGTAAATCCCTTTAGTTTACTTACCTTTTTTCCAAATATGTTCTTAGTCTCTATACACTAGGAAAAAAACCATCAGAAACAGCTAATTATTAAATGTAAAGACACTGCTATATTAAACATGATTGTTTAACCAATACCAAACTCCATTTTCACACATATTTTCCTATCTTAGTGAACCTTCCTATAATATGAAAATGTGTATTAGCTTTATAGCTGTGAAACTTCTATTAACATTATGAGATCATTCATGTGTGAATTTCTGCACACAGATAAATTGAAGAAAAGTGCCATAAAAATACAAACAGATTCTCCTGGAGACAATTTGTTATCAGCTGGACATAGAATTCTGATTAAAATATGACATATTAATGGGGGTATCTTAATGCTACCACAGTAAGTTTCTATTTATGTGTTTGCTTTAACTTATAGTCAAGGTTAGCCATAAAATGAAGTTTTAAGTAAGTTACTGCAACTGGATTTAAATTGGCTAACAAATGTTAAGAGAAAAATCGAAACTGTTACATGGCCCTTCTCATCAGCCTGGCTGTGAGTAGGGATGACCCATACAGACTATATTCCCACTTCTGCAGAGCCCAAATTTGGTCTCCTTTAACATTTGTGGTATGATATTTATTGATGAAGAGAACAAAGGTTCTCTTTTGCACTTGAAGAGCAACCCAGCTTCCAAAGAAATGAGATTTCTTGTCTGAAGGAAAAGGAAAATCTGAGTCTGGATGAAAAAGTGAACATCTGGACTGCATAGTATCTAACTTGTAGTGAAGAACTTTAAGCATGGTATCCTGCCCCAAATATTCTTGGAGCTTGGCTGTAATACTTGAAAAAGCTTTCTAGTAATCAGTCAGTCAGCAGGAGAATCCACAATTTCAAATTAAATGTCAAACCTACCTTGTTAGAAGGACAGAATAATTGCCCTGAAATAGGAACTGCAGGACTCGAGTGAGAGGGGCAGCTTAACCTAGTGAAAGCATCTTGCACAAAAGAGGATCGTGGAGGTTTTTAAAGCTAGGGCACTTGGTACTGCTGTCAGCAGGTAACTATTTTACTTGAGATTTATAACCTTGAGTGCTGTCCTGATTAGTGTTTATGTTCTTTCATTTAAAATATGATTCCTCGGGAGGAAGAGTAGTTTTCTTGCTTCTAGAAGTTACGGCCTTCACCAGAGATAAGCCAAGTTTTATTTTAAGTGATAAAATACATCTGTACTCACCTTTTAGGATATTTGCATGCCCTGCTTTTCAGGATCAGATAATTTTTCCCCATTCTTATAGACTGTGATGCTGGCAGTGCCCCAGACTGGTTACTCTCAATGGCATTGATGAGGTGGAGAGTCTTGCTGCAGTGAATTTCTGACAAGTAGTAAGTTGCTTTCTTTTTGTTAGACATAAGATGCGCGTGTGCCTCTGCAAGTCTTCTCTAAAGACGACTTTTCACTCAGCATGAATTAGAAAGACTGGCTCCTATCCTCTCCTGTGCAAACACAGAGCCTTAACTGCCTTAGAAAGTGATGCATTCCTGATAAATGCTCAATCCATCATTATTTTAGAACAAAAAGAGATCAGAAGCTTGTGAAGACATCGTTAAATTGAGAAGTCTGTGGCCACAGTAAATAAGCAGGAGCTGTGCACTGGCAAAAGCCTTAATCACTGAACCCATTTGAATCCTTTCTTCGAAAAAGTCATACTGTGAAGATGTTCCTTTAACCCTCACTATAACAAGACTTCTTGAGCGCATGAGATTACCAAGGTAGCTCATTGGAAAGTGAAATAGGGCAGAAGGATGTCACCTCCAGCGCTGTTTCACCTGATAATTTCCTGCTTGGAGAGATTTCAAACATGCATCCTTTCTCATCTGGTACTGTTCAGCCTTGGAGTACTACATGTTCTTGGACACTGATGAGTGGGTAAGATTCAACATAGGACTGTTCTGCTCATCTCCATAGCTAGCACCAACAACCTGAGTTTTCCTTAGACTCCCTTTCTGTTCCTAACTTTATCAAAGGTGATGAAGATAATACCAAGGCCTGATGTGGCAGGTGCTGCAAGTTTCTGCCTTTCTCTCAGTCACGGATTTTGAACCTGAACATAAGATCTGTCTCACCCAGAATCTTGTTGCAAACAAAGGATAACCAAAGACACTTACGTGGCACTGAGAAATGTGGTTTAGTGGGCACACTGGTGATGGGTTGACAGTTGCACCTGATGATGGTAGAGGTCTTTTCCAACCTTTATGACTCGATATCACATTTCTCCGTGAAGCATGGGTTAAGTGCAAAAAAAATTCAATGACAGTTTATTGACAGAAATGATTGGTGAGCCATGTAGGGGAGGTGCTCTGCTGAACTTTTCACTTGTGAACAAACTGGGGATGTGAAGACTGAGGGAAGTTTTGGCTGTGTTCTCACAGAAGTGAGCACAGCAAATGGTATAATTGGAAGCCTGGAATTCTCGGGAGCAAATTTCAGCTTGTTCAGAATCTGCTTGGTAGGGAGACTGCCCTGGAGTCAAGGAGTCATGGGACAACTAATTGATCTTTAAGAGCAGTCTCCTCAGAACATAGAAGTGATCATTCCAAATCAAAGAATGTTTAAGAAATGTGGTACAAGGCTGATATGAATGAACATGACACTTGAATGACTTCAAACACAAAAGAGGACTATTTAAAAGGAAGAAGCAGTACAAAGACTACCTGTATAGAATATACAGATATTGCCCAAGTCTGCAAGATGGGAATTAGGAAAGCCAAAACTCAGCTGGTGTTGTAATAGCAGAGGATGTGAAAGGCAACAGAAGGGGCTTAAGTGGTAGCAAAAAGTAAGCCTAAGGAAAAAGTGAGCCAAGTACTCTGTCAGGGGGACTCAGAAACAAAAGGTATTGAGATGGGTAAGATGTTCAATGCCTTTTCTGCCTACTGTTCCATTTTGTTTCACTGGTAAGAATTAACCATAATTCTGAGTCTAATAGTAGAATCTGTGGGATTAAAGCCATAACCACAGCAGAGAAGGGGTCCAGTCAACTGGACGTAAACAAGTCATGTGAATAAATAGGATGCATCCAGGGGTGCTAAAGAAGCCAACCCATGCTGCTGTGAGTCTGTTAACCATCGTCTTTGGCAGTTACAGTGACTGAGGTGGTCCCTGATAGACAGAAGAAAAAAGGCCAACTACTCATCTTCAAGACAGTTGAGAGAGAAAATCCAAGAAACTGTAGTCTAAGCAGTTTAACCTCAATCTCCTGGAAGATTTCCTCCTGAAAACCATTTCTGAGCTTATGAAGGCCAAGAACATGATTAGATACAGGCAGCCTGCATTTGCAAAAAGTCAGACTGTTCCTGATCAACCTGATTGACTTCCAAGGTAAGATGAACAAGGAAGGATTGTGAATATTGTTCATCTTGACTGTAGCAAAGCTTTTCCTGTGGACTTTGATAGTATTCTAATAGCCAAAATGATGAGATATGGACAGGAGAAGGGAATGATAAAGTGGATAGAAAACTGAACCACCAGGCTATGTGGTTGTGATCAGCAGTACAAATTTCAGCTGACGGTTGCTCGTGGCAGTCCCCCTCAGGAACTGATTCTGTTTGATGCCTTCACTGTTAATGATCTGGATTATGGAAGAGAGTACACTGTCAGCAAATGCATGGATGATACCATCTCATAGGGGAGCATTTGATGTGCTGGAGGTATGTTGTCTGTAGGGATGAAGACAAGCTAGAGGAATGGGTTTCCAGGAGCCTCACCAAGCTTAGCAAAGGCAAAAATGTCATGTTAGGCATGGAATAACCCTTGCAGCTGCACAAGCTGGAGGTTAACTGACTTGAGCAGAAAAGAACCTTGTGGACATGGTGAACACAAGTCAGCAGTTGGAGTAAACAAGGTGAAGCATACCCTCCACATTGCTAGCAAGATGGATAACAGCAGGTTGGCAGAAGTAATGACTCCCTTATATTTGGTACTTGTGAAACAACTTCAGGATAAATGGTTTTGGTTACCCAGTACAGAGAAGATGTTGATGTGCTTGTGTGAATGCTGCACAATGTCACCAATGTCACACAGGCTGGAGCATAAGTATATGAGGAGAGGTGTTAGGGGGGTTATAGAGAAGAGACCCAGACTTTTCTGGATGTACGATATTAGGAAGAGTCAATGGAGACAAGCTGCAACACCAGAAGTTCTGCAGGAAATATATTTTCACCATGAAGGCATTGACATGGTGGTACAGGTTTTCAGTAGATGCAGAGCCTACATCCTTGGAACAACGCAAAACCTAGCTGAGCAACTTGTTTTAGTTGAAGGCACTTTGAATGAGAAAGTGGATTGGATGACCTCTCGAGATCACTTCAAACCTGTCCATCAGAGGGACAAGTCAGAGAGCAGATGGCAACTGTTTGCCATTGCAGATCTGTTAAGATCTCTGTGCCACCAGAGAGATTGAGTGTCAAAGGTGAGGCACCTCCACATTTCAGTGCCAAAAGGGGAAAGCTGAAATTTGATTTTGAAAACTGTGTGTTTCAATGTAGAACCATAAAACCAGCCTGAATCTATTTTTGAATGTGGTTCATAATAACGGAATTTGAAAAACATGGCTCTACATTGAAAGAGTTCATGCTTCTCAACCGAAGATATAACAACCTAAGAGGATGGTTAATTGGGATTAGTTTGAGGGAAGTTCTTCCTATTGCCTTCAGATGAGATTGAAGATAGTAGAAAGTGGCAGATGGTTTGGAGTAGCCCTGTTGTCTGCAAATTGCTGTTTTCCTTTGTGGATTTCTTATCTATGTAATAGTTAACACATAATTGTCTGTTGATAGCTAGTGTGCGGGACTGCAAGTGACACCTATTTAGAATTAGATCAATTCACTGGTGTTAATTCCTGTGTTCCTAACACTCAACTTCAGTATGAGCAAAACTATACAAGAATGTGATATTGCTGCGCAGAAAATGGTCTGCCGAGGTACATGGAGCTGTACATTACAAAAATTGCATAAAGTGAAAAGCTGGCACGTAGCAGTCAGCTTATTATTAACTTGCTGTTAAAAGGTGTGCACATCCTAAACAATGGTTGGAAGAAAATGCCAGCTATCTCCTTATGATTGTGATCAAATACATTTTATAAGAAACAGTATTAATCTATTTCATTTCCCACTAAAAATTTAATGTAGATGATACATGTTTGAATGGACTATGTGATTTTTCTTTATCCTTATGTAATCATGGGCAGTTTAGCAAAATAGATACAGATCTCTAATGTGGCAACAGTTTCCACAGCTATAGATAACAGGATGAATATAAGGAAGTGGATAATTACAACCCTTACCGTAAAGAAAAATGTCCAGCGCATTTTTAACCTTTGATATCTAGAAAACATTACTTGGATTTTGTCTTAAATTTAGCATTGCATCATTAGTTTGATTAAAAATAGGTTCTGTTTTTGTGACAACAGAGTATAAACTCTCTTCTTCTTTCCTCAGTAGTATGTTTAACAAATCCACACACTAGCTTATATTTGATTAGAAATATTGGGAAGGGGAAAATGGGATTTTCCAAGTGGGCAAAGAAGAAAATATTTATCAGCTTTCAACACTTGGATTAAATTATATTATGCTTGGTAAGAAAAAATCTGTGGCTGCTCAGTTTTGCTTTGGAAGAGTGTCTATGATCTAAAAAAACCATAACAGTTTCAATGCATCTAGTAAAAGCGTCACTCATATGCTGATTGCAAGAATATGCTTGTACAAAAGAAGATTTAACTAATGAGTTTCTTTTCTCATAGTTAAGAAAAATAATTTGTTTAAATATCTTTGAAAATTCAACATCTGCATGTTTTTTAAGCTGTAATTTAAAGCCTGTGATACAATCTGAAAACGTTCAAACAGATGATCTTCCTCATGTGCCAAGACTTTGACTGCATAAAAATACATTGTTGGTTCGTGGTGAATATTCATAAAGGCCAAGTGTAAAAACATCATTGTAAAAAAAAAAAAAAAAAATAGCACTATGCTTACTGGAGATTTAAAAAACCCTAATCTTTCCTTTCCAACTTTCCTTCTCTTTTTACTTAATGCCTGTTTTGAGCACACAGTCTCCCTATAATTTCTGCCCTGGTGATGTCTCTGTAAGTTCATCAATAGTTCCTCTACAATGAGAACTGGAAGATAGTCTGTATTTGCTACTAGTTTACTTGATCATGTCCTGAAATATCCCTAGCCTTCAGTCAAACCCATTGAATTCCTCTCTTGTTTTAGAGTGAGTAAAGGCAGCTGATAGGCCCGGAGTCATAGTCAATGAGGATCTATACTGTCCAGAAAATGAGTCAACTAATTTTAAAGCAGGCATCTACATTTAGTCAGATGAATCACTCTCTAGACTCCATTGATCTAGATATGTCAAGCTGGATGAGATGGATTCTACCATTACATTCCCTAGATGTTTTTGCTCATTTGTTTCAGAGTGAATTGAAACAATAAGAACAGGTTGGTGTTACAGTTTGCATTGCAGTTGCAATTGTGACCAGTGCAGTCTGGGCCTCATGGAGATAGCTGTAAATTACTGGCAGCTGCCTGCATGAAGTCTTCCTACACAGGAACTCTTCATACTCCATACATGAGTGTCTGGTGCTTTCATCATTTAAACGCAATACATTCCTTTGGTGTTATTTTTTCTGAAAAACTGACTTTAATAAAAAGCATATTTACACTTTAGAAGGCTTACTTTCTAAATAGCTCCAGAACTTTTAAATTGTATTGAATGCCTGTTTCTAAAACAAAGAAGCAAACAAACAAACAAAAACCAATTAGACTGGATATACTTCCAGTTACTTAGGTCTGAATCATTTCATGTCTAATATGAGTATCTGTAAACTAGCATCCGGCTACACTATTTTAGTTCCGTAGGGTTTGGGTACTTTTTGAAGCTTTCCGGAATGCAGTGCTTCTAAATGTTCTAAGAAGTGTGCCATGTATTATCAGATAGAAATTTGGATTCAACATAATTATATAATGTGTGTTAAATTCTGTCTAGGATGTGAACTTTTTTGCTGGTAAATGAGAGACATCTTACTGTTCTGGACCTCCTATCTCCATGCTTCTCAAGAAGAAAGAGAAACGTCTAACAGTTGGGTTGATGCTGTGGATGTGCTTTAGATAGAGAGAGGAAATTTAAGTCTGATGGATCAACATTAATAGGAAAGGGTGAAGCAATCCTGATCTTCTAAGACCTGTGGCTTTTACTCTGTCATTTCCTCCAAACACTGTGCCTTTTTATGTGTTTTCCTTCATCTCAATTGGGTTAGTTTTTAATGCCTAATTCCACATCTTCCCTAATGGGCTGCTGGCAGCTGGGGGTAAATGATGACAGAATAGATGCTCCAGAGCATTGGCTGGTAGTTTGTAGATCCTTATAAGCAAGTACCACCAATACCACTTTTCATCACAGATGGGGTAATCCTTAAAGGCTTTATTTTCAGATTGACAGGGTGCCATAAGTATGCAGAGGCAGTACGAGCTGATATCCTTCACTGACTATTGTTTACTTTGCGTAAATTGAGGAAGAAATTAGCAACAGCATGAAATTTAGGGAATTGGTATTCTGTAGTTTTTTGTTAATCAACTCTGGAGTGTGACATCTGGATAGGAACTTATATTTCTTTCTTAAGATGTCTCAGGTATCATGACATGAGAAGAATGCTCTTCCCCCACTTACTCCAAGACTGAAATCCTCAAAACCCCAGTTGTTTCTTCCCTTGATCCGCATCCCTCTGTGTAATCCTGGGTGCCCTCTGCCTGAAGGAAGGTGTGACCCCACGTGAGCTGCTGAGGTTTCCTTAGCGGTGTGGGAAGAGAAGTGGGAGTGAATTTCACAGAAACCTCTGATCAGGAAGCTCCTTGAGCAAGCTGGTGGGGAATGGCTGCATTCCAGGGGAGTTTCCTAATTGCTGTGCCACT